TACCGAATGGCTGCATCACAGGGCGATCCCGATGCCGTGCACGACACACAAGAGCCGAGGCAGACCACGTGGCAGCGATACGACCGCCAGCCATCAAGCGCGTCCGAGAGGCGTTGGTGTTGGTGTTGCGTAAGTGGAGTGGAGAGCTCGCCGATCGCCAGCAGTCAAAACGTCGTTTCCAGTTCACGCGAGTCGGCATTGCGCAGCAAGCAGCGGCACCATACACGCACGGCATACACAACAAAAGAAAAATAAAGAAGCACGGCGGCGGCACTCAAACACGGGGAAAAAGAGCCCACACCGATTGCACATTCTGATCGGCTCACAGACATCCGGATGGTGGTCGCGCCGCTGCTCTGCGGTGCGTGTGGCGTGTGACTGCAGTGGACAGAGGGGATGATGAAAGGGGTGGGAGACGCAGTGCGGCACACATCCATCTCGGCTAACTGTAACACCGGTGACGTCTTCCCGTCAGATCGCCTGCAGCAAAGACTGTCGCCGTCAGCAGCGGTCGGTGCCTTCCCTCTCCTACGGGGGCGCAACTGCACCGACGCCGTCGCTCGTCTCCTCCTTCACCAACACAACGAGGGAGCAACGGCAAAAGATGAGACACGCACGGCAGGCGCACAGTCGCAGAATCCCACCGATGCCGCCATGGCCAAACAAGATTAGCTGCAAGGCGCAAAAAGAAGAATAAACACCCCACCAAACGCTTTGGCGCCACGTGGAAGCACCTCAACCGACACACAAAGCGAAACACCGTGAAGCAGGTACCAAAACCAAAGCTCCTCCAACAAATTCATCGTGAAGCAAAAAAAAAAAAAATTATGCGAGCGCAAAAAAAAAAAAAATTCACACAAACTGAAAAACAACAATGCCGGTGCAAAGGCAATAAATGGTTGTGGTGCGCAGCAGCCGTGGCATCGCGCCCCTCCCTCATCAAACGGCACCGCACCACAACGCAGCGTAACGACAGCCTGCAATGACGACGATTGAGTAGCACACACAAAGCGGCATAAATCTTTCATCCCGCACTCGCTCAAATTTACGCTCTCAGTATTTACTGCCAACGGCACAGGGAAGAACACGGAAGGGGACTGTCATACCATCCTCCTTCTGCCCACAACAGATCCTCCCCATCCTCCTCCTCGCCATGCCCTGGGTGCCGCAAAACGCCGTCAAGCAAAGCCACGTGTATGGAAGTCCTCAATGCACAGGGCGGTGCTGGCAGCCACGCACGCTCACTCCCCCGCACACATCTTCTCCCACAACCTTCCCATACACAAAAGGGTAAAGAAATGGAGAAAAGAGGCCCGCCGCACAATGCACGCAGAAGCACCGCCATCCAATTCGCACCGCAAGAAAGAGCCATGCGCACCACACATACACGGCCACAACGAGAGGGACGGAGCGCACCCAAGTCCACGACGCTGCACTTTACTTCTCTCTTCCCCGACAAATTGGAATTACGCCCCACAGCAGGTCGTGGCGAGTGGCGTCCCACACCCACTGTGAGGCACGGCGCACACCATCCGCTCCCATCCGAGTGCACTCAGCAGGCCGGCGCCCAGTCACCCTCGTGCCACCGCAATGGGGACCAAAAAAAATCGTCGTCGCGGACCATCGATGCCTCTAGCAGAAAAATAAATAAAATGAGGGCATGCCAACAGCACAGCCAACAGAGAGACACTCAACGGGACAATTAAGCACTCAGCACCAGTGAACACCGCAAAGAAAAAAAAATGAACCGCAGCGATTTACCAAAAACAAAAGAAAAAAAGGGTGAAAGTCCAAAAGAACTCCCAAAAATATTTAAAAAAAGAAAAAATTTGATTCGGAAAGAAGTTCATTTCATGTGCCAAGAAGTACCATACAGTCATGTGTTTGTGTGTGCATATTGCCTGCAACAAGAAAAAGAGGTCAAAGAAAAGACCTTACTGTTCCACCAGCCCACAAAACATCATTCACATTTCATGCGGCATCCGGCCCGTTTTTCCAATCATCGTTTCGTGCAGTCCGTGGGACGCACAGCCGCGGAGCCGGCACCGCGTGTGGGCAAAAACAAACAAAGGGGGGAAACACGTCACTCATGACGGTGTGCAGCAGACACCCATTAAGTAAAGAAGACAGTGAGAATGCGCGGCTGGACGGCAATACGTTCAGCACAGCTCCCCACCCTCCATCACCGCACGGTGGTAGAACACACCCGTCCACAGAAAAAAAAAAAAAAGAAAAAGAAAAACACGGCGGCAGGGTGCGGCTGTGTGTGTGTGGCGCTGCGGGTGTCTGCCAGCCCTGGCCGCAAAAAAAGCAAAACAGGAGGGAAAGAAATGTGTGCTCCGCCCCACCAGCCCTCGTCGCACGCCCACACGTCACGGCTCCCTCAGCGCGCCGTTCGTCGCGGCCCCTCCTCATGCGTGCAGCAGGCGAGGCGCACAGGACCGTCGTCATGAGCGTGTCGGTGGGTGTGCGAGTGGAGCAGTTGGGCGGGAAACACACGGCACCCCTCACAGGAAGAGTGCAGCAAGAAACAATTAAAAGAGTGGAAAAGAAAAAAAGTCCATAGTGATTGCCCCCAAAAGCAAAAAAAAGAAGGGATGGGGGAGTTAGTAATTAAAAAACAAAAGACTGAAAAACGGAAAGGACTAGCAAAAAATTTTAAAGCAAACAGTAAAAAAAATTAAATTTACAAAAAACAACAAAAAAAGCCGAAGCGTGAGACGACCAGCGCACACACTCTCATTGCTCCCGTAAAGCAAAACACACACACAGGGAGAGAGAGAGAGGTCGCCCACTCAATGCAATAAAAACAAAACAGAAACAGTTACGGTGCTGCGCCCATGCAGCCAGGCAGAACGGCAGCGGTGCGTGTCGTGCAAAAGAGAGCACCAACGGGCCTGCATGGGTGTGCATGCATATATACAATGGGCACATTATGTGTGTGCTTCGTGGGGTGAGGTGAGGGCGAGAGTCCATGCAAGGGGACACACACAGAGAGTGAGTGAAGGACGAGTGTGAGTGCGGGCGGTGCACGGCTCTCTCTCCCTCACTCTCACGCGGCCACCACCGCAGCAGCAGCCGCACACACAACAACAAGAAGAAGAGGCAAAAGAGGGGAGGTGGCGTGGGAGACCGCGGTGCTGCCATCACTGTTGTTGGTTCCAACGGCGTTTTTATCTTTTTTGGGTACTTCGCCATCGTCTGTGGGATATCCATGCGGTTGTTCTTCCTGTTGTTGCTGCTGCTGTCCTTTTTCTCCGAATTGTTGAGGTTGTTGCGGTAGTTGTATTTGTTCTTGTTGTTTTTTCGTTTCATCTTCAGCATTCTCTTCACCAATTTCTTCATTTTCATCAGTAACGTCTTCTGTTTTTTCCGAAGATCTCACCGCAGATGTGCGAAGTCCTTCTGGTGGCGCTGCTGTTGCTGCTTCTGGTAGTTTTTCTTGTGGCCTTTCGTGTCCACCTCGTTGAATGGCCGCATCTTCCATTATGGAACCTTCCTTCTCTGCAGCTACCGCTGGTGAGTGATGTTCTTGCGGTGGTGGTGGGTGAACTTCCGTGCCGGTTTTAACATCCGTGTGGCTGCCCGTTGTCACGCCGCCCAGAGGCCCTGGACTGGCGTTGGGAGGTTCATTCACAACGTGTTTTGTCTCCTGAGCGTCACCCGAAGAAGCCGATGACAAGCCTGTCGGCTCATGAATTTCGGTTGGTTTACCGGGCTCAGGACCTGAATTCCCTTTACCTGCGCCTGGTTCTGGTACACCTTCGCTTAATTTCGACTTATCCTCCTCTCCTGGTGTGCTGTCTTCTGTTTGCTGATTTTTGGCGGAGTCATTGTTTTTCGACAAATTCTTTTGCGGACTTTCAGGATTTAATCCCAGACTGTCGGGAGAAGGATTGTGCTCCGTAGATAAAGGTGTGTGGAGTGTTTGCTGATTACTGTTCCGTGTAATTCCTTTTGTAGCAACTGAGCGACCTGCAGCTTCTTCTCCTTGACTCTGATGTTCTTTAACTGTTTCTTTTCCTCCTTTTCCTTCTTCTATTATTATTTCTTCTGCTTCTT